GAGGGGAGGGAGGGGGGTAAACAAAGAAAAAAAAAATGAGAGGTGGAGTGGGACAGAAGGAAGTCAATACTGAAATTTATAAATGTCGATGAAAGCCGATTACTTTGATCAGATTCGAGCCTTGACCATCAGCGTTTACTGGCGGACTACGCCACCACAGCGATCGGCTTCCCGAACCTTCCTTAAGAGAGATCGGAAGAAAATAATCCTAAATCCGTGACCACATCACAGATTTGGGGGTCATGAGGTCTTCAAGACGGTAATAAAGTCATGGCTTGCGTGCGTCCGCCACATCAACGAACAAAAACCTGGGCTGGCCAGCAATTTGCCCACATTTGGCGGACTCAAAAGCCGTTTGCGTGCCTCGTTCCCGGTGGCGTTGCGTGAGTGGGCGGGGCTTGAGGTCGTGCGGTCTTTAGCGACGACCCCCAGGGCTGTGAGTAATCGACACAAGGCATTTTGAGTATCGGTTGAAGCTTTGAGCTTAACTCCTGTCTTGTATCCGATGTTTTCTGGACAGAGTCTAAGTAAAATTTTGTCCTCCTTTTTTAAAATCTAGTTAAATTCTTTTTCCGAGAATGACGTCACTGTGACCAAGTTGAGTGAAGACCCCAGATGTGAATACTGGGAGTGAATTCGGCATGGACGTTTAAAGTTTACTTTCATCGTTATCTTCTTAAAATATGTATCAGTCAAACCTCCCCTAAAATGTTCACTCTCTCCTCCTCCCCCCCCCCCCCCTTTGGGGTGTAGCCCTCCCCCCCCCCCCCCCCCCGCCCCATCTCTGTCTTGCTCTCTCACGAACTGCTAGACCACAGAACAGAACAAGTCCAGGGGAAAAATAAAGGGATAGGTGACACAGACGAAGTTTTTTTAAAATTTTAGCGCCGTAACACAGACGAAGCAGACATCAACTTATTGATCAAAAGTACATTTCACGCTACGTTTAATACAACAATAAATGCTTTAGGAAGTGGGCTGCTTCAGCCCTACCCGTCAGAGGGAATGGAATGCACCGTTCATGTACACAGACAGAAAGATGCACTTATTGCAGCAGACATTTGGCACTGAAGAATCTACAATTCTTATTCCCTATTACAATGCAATGCAAACTGCTGGTTTTTTCTATGCATCTGTAGAAACAACGACAACGCAAAAATATTGAATACAAAAACAAAACAAAAAACAAAAACAACCCTCCCTCCACAAAAAAGCTAACAAAATAAGTAAACCATGCAGCTCCAAATTGTTATTACCGAAATCAGCCCTCAGGCAGGCAAATAATGTCCTGCAGGCGAGTACGACAGGATGTATTCGATACCACTGTAGTTCTCGTGACAGGGGTGTCGTCACGATAACGTAAATCCTGTTAGTGCGACCAGTCAATGGCTGGCTCTCCCGACATTCCCCTCTGTCGTTACCGGACCTTATTGCTCTTTACGCCCAGGATCTGGCTCTGTTCCTTGCGTTAACGACCAAGTTAATGCATCTTATTGCATACTTTATTGACATTTTCTGCCCTCCATTATTTTGGTTTCAGCTTCCAAAGTTACAAAAGAATCTTTTAGACTGATGTGAAAAGAAAAGAAGAGGCTATTCTAATTTTCTGTTCTTTTCAACTGTTCTTTTCTTTGTAATACTTTTAAACAGAACTTTGGACGGGGAAAGGGGGGGGGTGGAGGGCAGATGGAGGCGTGATGAAATTAAAGGCAGAGAAAAACAAATTGGTGGCCAAGATGACGACGGGGACGATGATAGGGAAGAAAATAACAAAACAAAGCCCGGGAAGAGATGACATTATTTTCTTTTTAAATTTTACAACAACAACAACAACAACAACAACAACAACAACAACAGAGGATTCATGCGTTGGTAGTAATTAGATCTACATCTGTCTGAAATAGTAGATGCTCAAGTGAGGATGGATACAGTTCCCGGACCATGCGTCCCCC